GAACACTCAACTTTACAAAATGTTACTGGACCTAAAGGAAAGATATTGGTTTAGTCCAGTGCAGTTCTTGAAATTCTGGAGGGAGGACAGTGAAGGTTGAAGAAATAAAGACAAGAGTCAAGATGCAGAAAGCTGAGATCTGGCGGAGCCCCCTCTTCCCATGGGAGAAAAGACTGCCCAGCACCCGCAGTACATTTATTTGTACAATCAGCTTAAGAATAAATCCAAAAGAAAGTTTGTAAATTATACAAATACATATACTGAACAACATGTAATTCTCAGACTATTCAGGAAAATAGAAATTGAAAAGGAGAGAATTTTACTAAACTCATTCTACAAAACCAACATTTAGTTGATATCAAAATCAGACCAAAACACACAAACAAGGATAAAATGAGAACTAATATCTATGGTAGCTATACATGCAAAATTTCTTGACAAAATAGCAAACTTAATCCAACAGTACATGAAAAAGATTACTCAGCAAGATCAAATGGAATTTATCCCAAGGCTTCACCATAGTTCAATATACAAATCAATTACTGTAATATATTATATCAATAATAATAATATTAACATCTCAATGAGTACAGAAAAACATTCAATAAAATTGGAATCTTTTCATAATAAAAACTCTCAACAAATTAGTTATAGAAAGTGTTATGGTTGATACATTGTGTCAACTTGGGGAATCTAGAGGTTTGGCTAAGTGACTCAGCAGGAAGCCAGGGTACTTACTTTGTATACATCCTGAGCCTGTGGAAGAGGAGGGCATGGAGAGTATGTGAGAGCTACACGCCCCTCAGGTGGGGGTAGCCTGTTTTTCAATGTAGGGGAGGGAAAGAGGCTGCTTGCCGCCATTCCTCCCTTTTACTCTGGCTGTTTGCTGTTCGGCTGCCATTCCCCCCTTTGCTCTCGTTGCTTTGCTACCTTCTGCCTCGGAGCCAGCCAAGTATGGACTAAAACCTCCACAAACTGTAAGCTAAATAAATCTTTCCTTCCTTCATTTTGGGCGTTGGGTATTTTGTCTCAGCAACAAGAGAAAAGTAACCAAGACAGAATTATCTTACATCAACAAGATAAAGGTTTTGGATTCCCAGTACCAAAAAAAAAAAGCCAAACAAACAAACAAAAAAAGATAAAGGTTTTCAATGACAAATCCAATGTGAATATTGTACTGAATGGGAAAAACTTGAAACATTTTCTCTACAATTTAGAACTAGACAAAGATGACCTTCTCATCACTTTTTTTTCAGTATAGTACTAGAAGATTTATCCAGAGTAATTAAGGATAAGAAAAAGTTAAAGGCATACAAGTATGAAAGGAGAAATTTTATTTTCAAATGCTATAATTCTAGATATAGAAAAGCCTAAACTCTACCAAAAAACTATAGCTGATAAGTCTGCACAGTTGTAGGACACAACCTACAAAAGTCATATTTATAAAGAATAACAACCTTACTAAAAAATAAATGAAAGAAATTGTAGTCAAAATAGCTACCAAAAAAAGTGAAAAACGCCTGTAATAAAAATTATAGCTAAGTATGGGGGTGCACTCCTGTAACCCCAGCACTGGGGATGCAGAAGCAGGAGGACTGCTGCAAGTTCCAGGCCAACCTGACCTATGTAGTGAGTTCAAGGCCAGCCTGAAATATATAGGGAAACACGGTTTCAAAAGAAAAAGAAGAAAGAAGAGAGACAGACAGACAGAGAGACAGAAAGACAGACAGAGACAGAGAGATAGAGAGAAAAAGAGACAGAAAGAGCTGGGAATTGCTATGATTTGTGTCTGCATGTCCCCTCAAATCCTCATGCAGTCATGGGGTGGGCTTTTAGAGTGTTGACTGATTGGGTGTGAGTGCTACACCTGCCCTGGGGCAGACAGTTCGCATATGTAAGGGAGAGGAAGAGGCTGCTTGCTGCCATTCCTCCATTTTGCTCTGGTTGCTTTTGCTGTATTCCACTGCCATGAATGCTTATTCTCTGCCATGTGCCACTCTGCCTTGGAACCAGCCAAGTATGGACTGAAACCTCGACAAACTGTAAGCAAAATAAACCTTTCCTTCCTTAATTTTGGGCATCAGGTGTTTTGTCTCAGCAATGAGAGAAAAGTAACCAAGACAGGAATGTAGCTCAGCATTCTGTGGGTTCACTCCTCAGTACTTCCAAAAAATTACGAAACATTGATGAAAGAAAGATTAATAAATAATAATAAATGAATAGAACTCTCAATGAATTAGAAGAATGAATATTGTTAAAATATCCATACTACCTAACTATTCAATCCCCATCAAAATGCCAGTGATGTTGCTCACAGAACTAAAACAAGTTCTAAGATTCATACGGAGACAAAATCTTGAACAAAAAGAACAAAGCTGTATACAGTGAGAAAAAAGAGTCTTCAAAACATGATGCTGGAAAAACTGGATATCCATAGGCAGAAGATTGAAACTTGATCTCTATATCTCGTCCTATGCAAAAATCAACTCAAAGGCCAGGAATATAGCTCAGCAGCATGGCACCTGCCTGGCAAGTACAAGGTCCTGATTTCCATTCCCACTACAAAAAAAAAAAAAAAAATCAACTCAAAATGGATGAAAGACCCGAATGCAGAACCTGAAACTATGAAACTAAAGAAGAAAATAAAGACACTTAAAAACATTTGTATAGGCAATGATTTTTATTTAGATCACAGAAATACAGGCAAGAATGGCAAAAATAAACAAATGAGATTGTATCAAACTACGAAGCTTTTGTACAGCAAGGGAAATAATCAGCAAAGTAAACAACAGAATGGGAGAAAGTATCTGTGAATGTTCATTTGACAAAGGATAGAAGATACAAGATACAAGAAACTTTAAAAAAAAACTCAAAAAATCCAATTTGAAAGTGTGCAAATGATTTGAATTGACATTTCCCAAAAAGCTATGCATACAGTGACATCAGATATTAGGAATGGAAATCAAACTCAGAATGAGCTACCATCTCACTGAAGTTACAATGGCTGTCATCAAAAGATAAAACAAATAATGAAGATGGATGAGGATATAGAGAGAAAGGAAATCTTATACTCTATTGGAAGGGATAAAATTAGTAGAACCACCATGAAGAACAGTGTTTAAGTTTCTCAGAAAACTAATAAGAGATCTACTATATAATCCAGGAATCCCACTTCTGGGTGTATAGTGAAAGGAAATGAAATTGGCATATCAAAGAAATATTAACAATCCCATGTTTATGGCTGCATTACTTGTAATAGCCAAGATATGGAATCCATGAAGATCCCCATCAACAGTTGAATGGATAAATAAAATGTGATGTATATATATGGTAGAACATTATTCAGTCATAAAAGCAAATGAAATATAGCAAAATGGATAGAAATGGAAAACATTATGTTCAATAAAAGGAGTTAAACACAGAAAGACAAATAACACATATTCTGTCTCATACGTGGAAGCTAAAACTGTTGATCTGATTTGTAGCACCAGTTACTGGAGACTGGGAAGGCCAGGGGATATGAACATAGATGGAGACTGGATAATGGTTAGCGAACACAATTACATAGAGAGAATAAATTTTATTGTTTCACAGCACAATAGAGCGACTGTAGTTCATAATATTATACATTGCATAAAGAACTTGCAGAGAAAATTTTGATACCTCCAAAGAGGAAAATATGGTAAGGAATTAGAAATAATTACTCTGTTTTTTTGTGGGTTTTTTTGTTTTGTTTTGTTTTTTTTCCAGTATCGGGAATCAAAGTCACGACCTTGCACTTGCCAGGCAGGCGCTGTGCCACTGTGCTAAATCCCCAGCCCCTAGAAATAATTCCTCTGATTTGACTGATATATGCTATACACATTTATTGCAATATCACACATACCCTTTAAATGCAATTAGTAATGTTAATCAAAAATTTCTTAAATAATCATGCATTATTTTCAGTACACTTAAAGTTTTTAAGTAACTCAGGCATCATTGAAATATAATATAGAAAATTTGTAGAAATAAATAATATAGAAAAGGCTGTATCTTAAAACTGAGGGAATACAACTAATATAAGACCTCAGAGGTAAATATAAATCCTTAAAATATTTAAAGACTATGAAATAATGAAAATTAATGCGCTCACTACTCAAATTAACAATTTAGAAAAAAGAGAAATAAAAGAATCAAAAAACATAAAAATAAAGAGTGAAGATCCAAAACAGTAAAACAGAAAATATAACCACAAAACACGTAATTTTCTAAAATCACCAATAAAAATGTATAAATATGAAAAATTAGATCAAGAAAAATATACAGTAAAAGTAACATTACAGCAGAAAAAGAAAACCAAGGTATGAAATATCTAGGAAAAACAGAAGGGAAAGATTGATTTTGGCTCACGATTTCAGAAGTTTTAGTCCATGGTCAGTGGACTCCACTGTTTCTGGGTCTGAGACAGACACATCATGGTAACAGGGCTTGCAAAGCAAAGTTTCCCTCTTCATGGTAGCTAGAAAAGGGGAGAGAGAGGGAGAGAGAGAGAGAGAAAGAATGTATGTGTCCTGGGACAAAATAAAACCTCCAGAGCCAAGCCCCCAAGAAGCATCTTTTCACGTAGGGCCCCCTTCCTGTTTCTACGCCTCCCAGTAGTGCTATCAGATGGAGACCCAGCAATCAACAGATGAGCTTTGGGAGGGCATTTAAGACCCAAACATGGTACTTAAGGTCACTGCCTTAATTTCCAGGTGTCTGAATTATTTTACTATTATTTCCATGGTATTATTAGCCTAACACAAATTATTAAAATGTAAGATTAATATTTTCCTAACACATCAAAGAAAATTTACAATAAAAAATAGAAATGAGAAAAGAAATCACCCATTGGTCCGATAACTGAAATATAACCTCATTTCTCTTTTTTTTTTTTTTTTTTTTGAAAATGTACTAAAATTTAATCATTCATAAAAGCTGTAATTTAATCTGACAGTAAAACACAAGAAGCAATATTAAGAGTTGGTTTAGTATATTATATATTTTAGCTTTGAAAGCCATAGAAATCAGTTATCCCAGTTTTTTCCTATAAAAGACCCATTTTTCCAAAGCATTATGCACAATTTTAATTAGAATATAATGACAGATGATATTTCATAATTTTTAAATATAAAATGAAATCGACTCAAAAAAGTTATCTGCTGCAATGAGTTGAGGAAAAATTTCATAATTGGTATCATTACAGATATAAAGTATAATGGTTCAACTTTTTAGTGCTTGACAAGGAGGAATCATGATAAAAAGATCAATATGAAATCATTTGATTATAGTAGCAATATCTAACATTTGAAATGCATCCATGCTCTTTTGTATAATCATATTAGAGTCAAGTATATTTATTTTCACATCTGTTATAATTGCTATTGCAAAGGAGAAACACTATTGTCTTATTTTCCAAGAGATATACACAGAGCAAATTTTTTCTCCAGGGAACTTGTGCAAACCAATATAATATCTAAATTCTTCACATAATATATAAAACAGGAGAAGCCTCTTCGGATTTATTTTTTGAAGTCTGGAATGCTGGCACTTTCCATTTAGGCAACAGTTCTTCATTCCTATAATCTGGCTCAGAGCTGCTGCTGACTTCAGGTCTAAAGCAGCAGACATGATTTCTTTTTAGGCTTCTTCTTTTCCACTGGTGTTTTTCTATTTATTTGTCTGACCAGGTCATAAAATATCTCATTAACGTTGATCTTTGACTTTGCAGAAGATTCTAAAAAGGCACAGTTACACCACTGTCTTGCTAAATTCTGGCCCTGTTCTTTGCCAACTACTCGCTCATCTTCCAGGTCACATTTATTGCCAACCAAAATCATTGGAACATCTTCTGTGTCCTTAACCCGTAAAATCTGTTCCCTTAAATCCTGTAAATCATTAAATGTGGACTGAGCTGTAATAGAATATACTAGTGCAAATCCTTGGCCATTCTTCATATACAAATCCCTCATAGCTGTAAATTGTTCCGTCCCTGCTGTATCCAGGATTTCCAGCATACACTGTTGGCAATCTACTTCAACTTGCTTTCTGTAGGAATCTTCTATCGTTGGGTCGTATTTTTCAACAAAAATTCCTTGAACAAACTGAACTGTCAGAGCAGACTTTCCCACGCCTCCTGAACCAAGGACCACTAGCTTGTACTCACGCATGATGTGGTCTGTTTAAATACTGACAATCCCCCGGCTCCGGCGCCTCCTCCACCTCCCCCTCCTCCTCCTCCCTCCTCTCGGCCGTGGCTCCAGCTCGGGCTCCGGCTCTGCGCCTAACCTCATTTCTCTATATGTCTTCTTAATCTATTTCCTAGGCATCAAGTTTATATTTAATTTCCATAAAGTTGTAGTAACACTGGATATTTTGCTGTATGTACTGTAGTTAAGATATTGTTATGTTCATTTACTGATGAAACATGCAGTTTCCATGTTATTATCCAGAATCTAACTTATTTTAACAAATCTCTTTTTTAAAAGCTTTTATATCAGTCTCTTTGTTCTATTATTTTTAAAAACTTACTTTTACCGTTGTATACCATATGTGTCATTATAAAGTAAAATTTTGCAGTACAAGTTTAAAATTTCAATCAACTATAGTAAGTGAATAGTAAACACTAATAATATTCTTATTGAAACAAACCCAAAAGTGAGATTAAAATGTTTGTTCAATGGTATATCCAACCTACAAAATCTTAAGATATATATTTTTGTTGTTTTAGCATAATTGAATTTGTGTTGTTTTTTATAATTAATAGAATCTCTAGTTTAATTGTACATTGCTTCCTAGAAGTATATGTAATGAGATATATTATAATCTAAGTTTCAATGAAGAAGCATTTCTATGAATAAAATGGTGAACCATAAATTTTTAAAGCATTATAGATGTCCCTGAGAGACAAACAGAATGAAATTGTAACTAAAATGATAGAAGTTTAGAAGTTTAATGAAAATAGAGCTTTAACATGAAAACAAACTTTCACACTTTTATTCTATTAGAACATATGCCTATTACCTCTGGAGAATAAATAAAATCACATTAAAATGTCTACAATTTTGAGTCATGGCTTAATTTAGAGGTGTTAGTGATTATCTATGAATATTTTCTTTAGCTTAAGATAAAAATGATTCAATAATACAATTTTATTTATAGACCTTTAGTATATTAAAGCTATACAAAGTCTTTTTGCTACTAAAGACTCATATAATACCATTTTTAATATTAATTCAGAATGCTCCTTGACTTTTTAAAATCGAAATGATCATCCATGTAATTTTAGAAAAATTCCATTTCCCATTTCTTTTCTTTTTAATAAAAATTTTATTAGAGAAAAATAGAACCACAGTGTACAAAAGGAAAGAATATAAAAGTTCAACTAATATGGGACAACAACTGAAAAAAGTCACAATTATTCAATGTAATGTGCAATTACTCTTCAACTTCTTAAACAGCTTCCCTTAACTTATTTAATAGTCCTGCTAGTTTTTCAGTTGAAATAGTATCAAGTTGTCACATATCAAAATCTCAAGGCAAGAGGCCCTTACAAAAATGGTAGTAAAGGCTTATTTACCAAGATAAGGAAGGTGACCTCAGCAATCTCTTATTAGGACCAACTCCACCTAAAAATTTCTTAAGGAGAACTATTGACCCTTGTATAATAATCTACACAGCAGAGTCCATTAGGGATGAATTAGAACAGTGATATAGATGGTCCAGTATGGAGAGAGGGCAAACGAGCTGCATTTGTTCATCAGATAAGCCCCTGTAAGGCAACCAGGGAGAAGCTGAGAAAATATAGGTAATGACTGTTCAAAAATAGTTAGGAAAGAGTCCTAAATACTACAGATATAGTTAGACATCAGTGTGCAAGGTGATGCAATTAGAAAGAGGCAACTTAAATACATGTGTGTGTATGTGTATATACAGATATATCTAAGACATAGTGATAGATGATACATAGATTGATGATAGATAGATGATAGATAGATAGATAAAGGTATAGATGGCTATATCTCTATACATAGTCACAGGCCTCTGAGAACTCAAGTTAGCAGTCAACAGGGAACTAATAGTCCCAGGTCTCCTCACCTGAAGATCGGGATCTAGGCATCCTCCCTAGTGTCTCCAAATAGACAAGGATATATGATGCTGCAAAAATCACTAAATAAGTTTTAATTTTTTTTTCTGGTACCAGGAATCGAACTCACAACCTTGCACTTGCCAGCCAGGCGCTGTGCCACTGAGCTAAATCCCCAGCCCCAAGTTTTAATTTTTAAAAATGAAACCAAAAATGTCTGCTTCTCCCATGTGATCAACTCCCTTCAAGGTGAAATGAACAAAGAAGCAAAACAAGAACCCAGCAAGGATACAAAGAAGCATTTGCTCACAGGATCAATTTGAGGACCAATGCTTGTTTTACTTTCTATGTATGAATAAGCTCAGAACATTCTCCTGAACAGTAAATGCCCTGTGGCTATGAGAACACGCAACTCCAAACAATTTTAAAAGAAATACAGAATTTGAAATTCCCAGAAAGGGGATATGTGGAAAAAATGAAGAAAGACATTTATATCTAGGGTTTGGAGAAATTAGAACAAAACTGATAATAAAGGCTCATTTATTACCAAAAATAAATTTGGATGCTTCCAAAAGATAATTTTAGTAGAGAAAACTGGAATGCTAAATCCTAGGAAGAAGGATCAATCTACTATTGATCTAAGTTAAAGACAGAACTGTTCAAAACTCTTTTAAAAATCTGAGAACTAATTGATGAATTTTTGCTCCTGTAATAATTTTTAAAAAGTGGATTTTGGTCTCTCTTGCAATTATCATATTGCATTCATTTTGATACAAACAGCTGGATTTTTCTCTCTTGCAGTGTACAATGTTCTGATACAGATACAGGATGTATATATATGTGGCCAGCAATTTTTCTATTTTAGCTGCTACAGCTGGCAGCCTACTACCTTCTCTTAGTCATGATGGTCTAAACACAGCTCTCCATATCCTGACTGAATTACAAAATATCTGATTTGTGCTAGTGCAGGAATTCTCATATACTGGGATAAATGATGGTCTCTTGTGGTTTCTTTCTCAAGTAAACCCTGAAAATGCTTAGTGTGTCCTTTGGCATGGCTAAATAGTTGTGACAGCAGTCTAAGGAGAACATCTGTGCAATTCAACATTCAGCCGTGTCAGTTACCCATGACTGACACTGGGAGGTCAAAAACAGGCAAATCTCTGCTTCAAAAATGTCACAGGGTAGTGGGAGGAATAAATGAACAGAAACTTAGAATTAATGAAAAATGCTGTTGATAGCAGGATACAAGAGGGAGCCCTAGAGAATGCTGACAAATTGTGCTTACAGGGATATTATTCAGGAGAGAAAAGAAACTAATGGGAGAATTCACTGTGTGGGCTCCATTCCAAGTGCAATTCATGTATTTCCACAAAGTAGTAGCTTTTAAAAATCTGGATGTTTATTACTTTATAGTTTTTAAAGTCAAAAGTCCAAACTTATTCTTGATGAACTAACGCCAACATGGTGGCAGTTCTGATGTCTTCAGAGATTCTGAGGGAAGACTGTGTCATTCTGTTTTTCGGCTTCTAAAGTTAACCAGTGTTAAGCATCTTTGTGGCTCTTTCACAGCCTTCAAGGCCACATACAATACGGTATCTTCAAATCTCTCTCTGGCTCTCCTACCTCTGTTTCCATCACCCCATCTCTTCTGTCTTCCCGCCTCCCTCCTGTAAGGACTCCTGTGACCACATCCACCCCTCTGGCTCGTCTGGCAGACTTTCACTCTTGGCGTCATTAAGGTGATCCATAGGTAAGGCCCCTTCTGCCAAGTGAGGGAGCATCCTCACGGGTTTGTGGATTAGGATGTGGATGTCATGAGGGGAGGCATTATTTAATCAGCCACTGCTACTAAATGAACTAAGGAAGGAAGAGGAAAAGTTGATCTCAGTAGATACTGTGGACCGAACTGTGATCCACCCCTCACACACTGACAAAAACATCCTGTGTTGAAACCCTAACCACGATGTGCCTGTATTTAGAGATGGGTATTTTTGGAGGTAGTTAAGGATAAAGGAGGTCATGCGAGTGAGGTCCTAATCCAAAACAATTGGTGTTCTTCGAAGAAAAAGACTTTCTCCCCTGCCCCGCTCCATCTCTCTCCCCTTCTCCCTGCTTCTCTGCCTCTCTCTCACAAACACACATATGTGCCCAAAAAGACCATATAAGGTACAATGAGGAAGTAGCTGCTTACAAGCCAGGAAGACAGCCCTGCTAGTATGGAATCTGCCAGCACATTAGCCTGGGAATTCCTGCCCCTCAGAAGGTAAGAAAATAAATTTCTGTGTTTAAGGTGCCCACTCCATGGTATTTGGTTCTGGGAGCCTGAGCAGACTAGTACAGGAGATGATAATGAAATATTTCCTAGCAGATTTTAAGGTGTTAATACAAGTACAGACTTCAAGGGACAAATCTAAGCTGTAATGTAGATTTGGAATTTAACAGCTTAAGCCAGTAGTTGGTAGTGACGAAAAACATTAACCTGAGATAGTAAGTGTACTAAAAAGAGAATATAGCTGGGAACAGAGACATACATATCTGGTAACACTACTATCCAAATCTCAAAATGCTTAGCAGATGATTGAATTAGTTCTAAGTGTTACTTGTACTGTATGTACAGCCAAAGGGCAGGTGGAACTGGTGGTAATAATCACAGGAACTAGCACTGTAGATACAGCTCTGTGAGTTTAGAGACAGCTTTACCTCCTATAACTGAAAAATAGTTGTTTTATAGACAAAGGAAACCAAGACTCAAAAACAGTGAGTCATTTTCCTAGGTCACAGAGATGTTTGCATTAGATTTGATTTCTAACACAATTCTTCTGAATGAAAAAACCAATTCTGAGAGAGTATCAAGCAGAGCTGGCTTTGAAATGCAAACATTCTTTTGTCTAAAGAACAGAACTTTTGGTACACCTTCAGGCAAGATAGCAGCTTGGCAGAAGAGATCATCTGTTAAAGGTGGGAACACTGGGTAAAAAAAGGTGTTGTAGAGGAGGAGGTATCAGGCAGGTTGACAAGTTGAAACATTATTAATAAGAGTATTCAATAAGAAAGTAATATACTGGACACTATTTCAGAAGTAGAAAAAAATCAATCTCCTTGAAACAGTGCTATATTTGGCAGTATGTGTTACCAGGAAAAAATCAAAACCTGCCCAAAAAGAAAAAAGAGACCTTCTAATGTTTGAA